AGGGAAAATTGCTAATTGGTCGAGCTGTTAACAACTCATACACATCTGTAATGTGACCACCGACTACACACTACAGGAGAATTGTATTTTAAAAGCTTGTTACATTATCCATTGTGTAAAATCTGGATGTTAAAAGTAACTAAAGCTTTCAAATGAATGTATCGGCAAAGAAAGTACAATATTTGCATATGAAATGTAGTACAAACTGGGAATATTCAAGTAAAGAACATGAAACTCAAAACTACCAATGTGCAGTGCTTGTGTGAATGTATTTAGTTACTTACCCCACTGCACTTAAAGGAACACAGAAAAAAATAGTACAGGTTAAAGAACTCATATCAGTAAATCATATCTTACCAGCATTTTCCCAGCTGCTTCCTTGATTTTTTCAACCTTTGCTTCTGACAGGCCCTTGATGTTGCACAGAGCTTTGCGTGTAGTCATCTGGATCCCCTTCACAGTGCAGATACCCACCGACTTCAGCTTTTTGATGTCTGCCATATTCTGTGGTCAGATGTCAAGGAAAGACAGAGAGATGGTCACACAGATAACGACTTTTCATCTGAGGAGTACGCCTCAAGTTTACTCACAATCCCATGTTTCTGTAAGAGGTCAATGTCTTGGAAGAAGGACTCCTGTTGGGTTCAGAGAAGAACAAAAGCTACATGAGGATGTTGCTGAGGAGTTAATTGGAGGAAGAAGGCAGCTTTTAACTGGAAAACAGCTGTAGGTTCTCGCTAATAAATTCTGAAAAATTATTAGTCTGTCACACTGTTTTTATAGTGTTTGTCCCTAAAATGTAGATTTGAATAAAAAATGCATATTAACTTGAGACGTAGAATGTCACCAAACTGATATCTGAACAGCCTACTGGTTGTGGCGGCCATTTTTAAATAGCTATTGTACAGCTAACCATTAAATGAAAAACTAACTATAGCTTACCTCATCATCCTGGAAACCTGTATCATCGTCAACAACCTGATCCTCTACGACTTTCATATTTAATGCTGAATCTAGTAAAGGTTAAAGATAAAATGTATTTTACTGCTCAGTTAATGTCAGTCAGCAAAGACCTTCAGCGGTGGTCGGAAGTTAGCTCGGCTGTTAGCTAAATTAGCTGTTAGCTAAATTAGCTGTTAGCTTACCGTTCACCAGTCAACAACAGACTATAAAATACAAACTGAAATACGAAACAAAACCGTCAGAAGTAACTAATTTTCCTATTCGTTTATATTAACAAGCTAACGACCATACTAGTATGCTTCAGGCAGAAAAATATATTGTTAAAGTTTAAAAGGCAGCTGCTCTTCGGTTCTTGATGTGCCTTGCTAGCGGCCACTGGCGGGAAGTTCTGTATTTAGATGCATTCATGTAAACTTGGAAATTCAAACATTCAGCTAAACGATTATATGAATGCCTAACATAACGCGAAAATAAATGTTGGTTTCGGTTTGGCGGCTTTAATGTCGGTCTTAATGACCTTAATGACTATGAACATCTCCATAAAATTATATACAGCAGGTCTGAATTCAAAACATATCAATTAGTTACTGCACTTATGTGCCATGTGGAGTATGTCCCCTTTTTAATAATTATGACCAGGAGCTGGAAAAGGACAATGAATGCAGCATTGGACATGCTTCTTTTGAAAGCGTATGGGATGATAAATATGTGAGAAAAAAAAAATCCATATGGATATTTTTTTTTTTTACTTTTAGACTGCAGTATTATCTGCATTCACTGTATTCTGGATGTGGCTTGTATTTATAACAATTTCCTGTGTCTTGAAAGCCCAATTGGACTGGTAATAGATATGAGTATTACCCAATAGCATTTTTTTATTATCATGTCTATGTCAATGGCACTTTTTGACAGAACATTATGATGCCACAGTAGAAACAGCACAGATGTTCCAGGAGCTCCAGTTCCAGAACTCTTGCGATCATAACCATACAAGTTTCTACTTTGTCTGCTGTTACAGGTCTAAGAGTCTGCTGTGGAAAGGTCTACAATGAAGACCTCATATACATTTCTGCCATTTATAAAGAATTCTATTGTGATCACAACTCATTTAAATAAATAACCTGCACCATGCAAAACTTTCATTTGTTATTAAATGCATTCTGGTCACTTGCATAACCGCAATGATATTTGATCAAACATCCAGCCAACATACTGAACGTAAACACAAGACTTCTGGTTTGATTTGGTGTTTTAATTTTTGCAGTTATGATGAACACAAAACAGAGACAGGGGTTTGCTTAGTGGAAGGAAGAGATTGTAAATTGCCACATGAATGACAACATACAAAACATTCTCTTAAGACTGGACATTAGAGAGTAACATTGGCATCCAAACTTTACCAACAACCCCAACTGCTTTTGTTCAAAAGCATGACACGTTACCACTCTTAAATGCGAAAACAATGCTGCGTGTCACGTGCTACTGAAGAAAGAGAACAATCTTTGCAGCAGCGTGATATCTGGTGTTGTTGCATAATGTCATTCACTGTTTCAACAAGAGAGACATGATAAAAACCATTAACTGTGGCGAGTTTGAAGTGAGAGACGTTTTACTGATGGAATGTGACAAATGTAGAGACAGAAACATCTTGTAAAAAAAAAAACAGCTTCATTTAGTTCGGAGCACTTGAAGTGGCCACTCTGCCGACACCGTTTCTATCAGTTGATGTTGTTTACAGTTGTCACAGTTCATCAGAGCGTTCTGTCAGTTATTCTACAAACATCATCCTCCACATACAAGTGGAACCAACAACCTCATGAACATGGAAATACCGACACCGACTGATAACGATCACACTTCTCTTTTCAGGCCAGCTGCACCAGCTATCCCCTACAGAACACATTATTTATGCTGATATACGTATTTATTTTTTAAAAAAGAACATGAAAACAGAAGCTGTGCTCCTGGGAATCAGTCTCTGCATGACGTCGGGAGTAAGGAGAGACAGCGAGAGAGAAGTGTTAGACATGCATCACATCTTCCTCCTCCGTTCTGATGCCGCAATGCTGTCGTTGAGCTTTTGCCTCTTTTTTTTTTCTTTTTTTTTTTAAACTGCAGTTCTTTTCTCCGTGGTCTCTCCGTCTCTCCTTGCGAGTGACCCTGCTGTATCGCTAGTAGCAGATCTCAGGCTCATGTCGGCCCGTGTCGTCTCTCACATCTTGCCAGGTGCAGGAGGCATCATACCCGGCATCCCACCGGACATTCCAGTGTTGGGTCCCAGCAGGATCTACAAGGGAAAGAGTCAATAATTCAGGAGGTTCATCAATGTACTGCACTGTCATAATAGCTGCTTCCCCATGCCTGTAAGAATTTGGGTTTTGATATTTCGACCCTAAAGAAATTACAATGCACTGTAACTATTAATGAATTAAACCATGGTTGACCCTCAAGGGTTGATTCTTCATCCTGTTCTTCTCTCCATATATCTGCTACCTTTAAGGTCTACAAGGTACCGCATCCCTTTCGCTGATACCAAGTTTTACCTACGGCTCAAGTCCTCCTGAAGCGGCAAAACAGATTTTACATTATTTGATCATCTAGACATTGTCAGTGCTCCTGACCTTCACCTTGGCCCCTACAACAAAACAACTATAAAGGACTTAGGCGTAATCCTCAACAAACAGATGAGTTCAGTAGCTGAGGCCAGCTTTTCCCAATTAGAGTGACTTCTTAAGATTAATTTCTTAAAGTGTTGTATAGCTGTTTTAAAACAGGCTCTACATATAAATTAACTTGACCTGAAACGCACCCTGTGTCTCTGCTCTGCCTGTAATGACTCACCTGTCTCTGCTGTTGTAGCTGCTGCTGCTCCAGCTGTAGTCTTTCTGTCTCAAACACAACAGGCAGCACCAGGATCATGAAGGAGGTAGTGCCCACCCACAGCGCAGAGCGGGAGAAACTGAAACGAGAACAACCTGATTAGTTTCCATTAACAGAAATTCCATTTCTAACACACACATCAGACGTAATTGTAGTGTGCATGTGACGAAGGATGACCAGAGGATTCAGGTGAAATGTGTGAGTAGTCGTTTAGGCACCACACTAAGCACAACCCAGGGAAGTATATGTATAGATTGTTCCTTATTTTATTCCTATTGCAGAATGACACACTGTGGTTTTATTAAATAAATGACTAAAAGAGCCCCCTGCCTAAATTATATCCTCTGTCAGCCATCATTTTTATGAATCAGTCACATTAGACAGCCCTTCCCATTCATCCTAGCAGTGTTACCATTTAGTTAATAAGACTCAGAAATGTAAAGACTCTTGACTGTCTGGGCTACCAAGGACAGAAGTAAAGACTTACATTTACTCTTATTCCAGAGATAAATTCTTTGATTTTAATTTAACTTAAATATTTATGTATCTCAGGTTTTATATGTGTCTACTATTAAAGTCTGAGTTGTGGTCTTGTTTGCTGTCGGATGTTTGTCCAGAAATTGTCAACTGCTCACCGTAATTTTCTCAAGAAGAGGCAATTCTCTGATTTCAGCTTCTTAAATCAGAATATTGCCTCGTTTCTTTACCTAACTATGAAAGTAAACTGAATATCTGTTGGTTGGACAAAACAAGAGTACGTCATCTTGGGCTTTTTGAGACTTGTTTTTAAAAAAATCACATTCTGCTTTTTTACGGACCAAACAGCTGATCAATTAATTGAGAAAATAACTGACAGATTAATTAGCAGTGACAATAATCTTTAACAATGGTTGTTTAACATTATACCACCATTATCTTTTCAAAAGTGTGAGGTCATTAATGTCATTCAGAGTATATTTGTACCATTAAAAAAAAAAAAATCTTTAAAGCAATAGTATTTGTACCTGCAAACAAGACCATACAACCAATAGATTACGTGGGATAATAATCCCAATTAAACGATGCTTTTCCTAAAAAAAAGAAACAAAACAGCTATACTTTCAGTGCCTGATGTTATGAGGTTATCCCACTGATTGTGCGCTGGACATACAAAGTTAATGTGTATTTCTCCAAACAAGCTGTGAAATTTATTTTTAATTAATTTGTCATCTGAAAGCAAGTGCTAAAATTAGAACTTCACTACATAATAAATATAATTGAAGGTTGCACAGCAGTATAGCACTACCAGCAACGGCATCCTGTAGCGACATTCAGTTTCCCAGTGCTCTACCTGCTGCTGTGGGACACTATGACACACTATAAGCATGTCTGTGCATTGACAAGGTGAGAAGAAGACGCTGCATGGACATACATACCTGTAAAACTTCTTGACCAGGGACACGGAGCACTGTGCAGATACCTCAGCAGCTGTACGCACTGTGTCAGGAAACATCTCTGTCAGACCCCACAGCCTCTCCATCAGCGTCTCATCCAGCTTCAGGACACACAACACACCAAGTTGAACTACTTCCTGACAACAAGGCTCAGTAAGAAACACTTCTAATTAGTAATAACATGCAGGCACATGTCATCAATATTTAGGCAATGAATGGAAGTACAGTTTGCGGTTCCATTAGTTGGGTTTACGTATAGCTAATACAGGGGGGAATTATCTGATAGTGTCACATTATTTAGATATTAACACTGGAGCTAAATTCACTCATTATTGACAATACTATTACAACAGAGGGCTAAAGGTAACACAGCTCAGGTAGCTAGCTAGTTAGCTTCGGTGCAGCCATGTTAGCTACGTTTCACCAAGAAAACCAACAGCTGTTAACAAGACACCGCGACTCTCAGTTACATTTCCGTTCCCTCCACTTTTCCCGAGAACTAGTGAACGACAGAGAACTTACATCTTCATCCTCGTCGTCGTCTATCTCGTCCTCCGGGGGCCGGGTAGACACGGGGCCCGCAGCGGGGGAAAGCTCCTCGATAGCGGCCATGTCCTCTGCTCGCCCGCTCCTCTCTGCCGGGTTACAGTAGCTGTGTGGCGGAGAGCAGGTCGGTAGCGAACACGGTAAGTCAGCCTAATGTGTTTCTGCTGGTTTTTCCACCGGCTTTCATTAAAGCTAATGCTAGGAGGCGTGCATCGGTCCACCGACAGTCTGAGGTCACGGTTGGAAAACGTGAGGCCGGTCAGGGTCGGATGACGGCAGCAGGGCAGAGGTCAGTGTGTGCGGTGAAGAAAACCCAGAGCGCCCCCTGGAGGAGCGGCTGCCTTAAAGCAGGTCCTGCTGTCACAAACACACACTGGGCACATGTGATGCATCTCACTTACAATATGAACAATGATTATAACATTACAATGAAAAAAAAACAACAACACAAATTTAAAAGTCAGGAAAATCATGAAAAAAAAAATTCTAAAAAACAAATGATTGTAAACATGCAACATAAACTGGATAAAACATGGTGCCTCCCAGTAAAAAGGCTATCAGCATTACAAAAGCAACCTAACAAGACAGTTAAGACTCTGTAGTGGGATTTAAGATGTCATTATATATTAATAATTTACATATCAGGGATTAAACTCCCCAAAAATAAAATAAAATACTGCTTTACCTGACAGCTGCATATCGTCTTGGACAATATGTCACACCCACTCCACGACTAACACTTCAGCTACACGAGTACTTTCAGTACAAGACAGAGTGCCACATGAAGTCATTCCTGCCTTTGGTCATCAGATTGTACAACTCTTCACTCTGAGTGTCAGACACTCTGAGTGAACAGGTTTACCTTGAACTTTAATAATCTGTAACAACCATTCTATTTGCAACAATATAACAATGATCCAAATGGTAGTATTATTATCATGACACTGTATATACATATACAAGAGCAGAATGTCTATTTATTTTTTGCATTTAGATATATTTTATTTCATAGTAATACTTATGTTTATATTTTTATTATATAGTTTTACTTTCCTACATGTTTAAGACTTTGACTGGGAGCATCTGTAACAGAAAGTGATTTCCCCCAGGGGATCGATAAAGTATTTCTGATCCTGATTCTGATTCTGATAGAATACATATTAAGGCTAAGATCCTACATCAGTATTAACTATAGAGAACAACCAAACAAACGTCATAATAAAGCTAGATACTACAGTGTTATCAATTATTTATCTAAGAGGATTTAAGAGGAGCTAAGACGGAGCTTAAACATCTCTTTTTGTCACTGCAGAAATCAGAAATGCTGTATATGGCTAGAATTTTTTATGTTTTTACAAATAAAATCTTCTATAAATGCGACTATTATAAGTGAAATCTACAGATGCAAATTGACCGAGTGTAGTTAATAAACACTTAAATGTTCATCCTGGATAATTCCTTTCCACTAATCTGAAAAAGACATGTTATGGAAGCAAGTGTACCAAAATGACCAGAGCATGAGAAAACAGTGTTGATGGCCCGTGGTGTCGAGACACACCTGTGTCTTTTAGAAAGTTTGCAAAGATCAGCATCTTTATATGGCAATCGTTTGACTAGTTTGAAGCATTAAGTACAAAAGTACACTAAAGTACACCATTATAGAGCTAAGAAATCACAATTAGCACCGTTGAATCACTGGTGCAGGAAAGTAACAGTAGAAGTGCAGTTTTGACTTCACTTGACTCCACTCCACTTCATTCCTTTTCTTTGCTTTTTTTTATTTTTTTCAATTTTTTGGTCTTAAGTTGATTTGTTTTCTGTGTACCATCTATCTTCTGTCCTAAGAAATGTTCACTTCAGTAAGAAAAAAGCTGCAAATATGTGACAGACTGCAAAATGATGGTTTATATCTAACATATACCGCAATGTAACATCAAAATTAATTCTCATAGTTCATACTTCAACTCCATCATCTGTAACACTGCATTATATCCAGTTCACATCACTGCTTATATTAAACAACAAAATAATGAGTTAAAAAATAAAAGCAGTTGTCCGTGTGAAAATAATGTTTTTTTAAAATTTATTTAAACTGCAAAATAAAACTTGCAAAATCAATCATGAGGATATATACAATATCAATGCAGTTTAAAAACACAAGAAACAAAAAAACAATCTAACACACATCAAAGATGAATGAAAATGACTAAAAATTAAGCTTCAAAACCATCAATGAAAAGCGGAAAAATAGCTCTTATTTTATTTACACTATTCATCACAAATTAAAACAAGAAAATACCTATGAATCAAAATGGAAATAAGTAGATATTGAGCTTAAAACGCGACACCAAAAGCCTCAGCATCATGTCTTGTTTACACTATTTAAAGCATTAACTACTTACTAAAAAATTGTAATTAAAAATGAGCTATTTTGGAATTATTCTGTTAAAATAAAACATGTGCTGCTCGCAGAAAAAAAAAACAACAATATTTACATGCTCTTCTTTTAAAAAAACGAAGATCCTTTCTATACACTAACACTCTGAGGATGACCCCGCGTCGACTCAGCAGGATCTGGATGTGACTGGCTACTCTGTAGACCGACGGATCCGCCGGGTGTCTCACTGTTGTTCCTCCTACAGGGGGACACACATGGTAGTTTGGTTTTCCTGAGGTATTGAAATATTCCTCTGTTACACTAGCTATTTCGATATTAAAGTCAGAAATCATAGTTTTTTTTATATTCTCATCATGTTTTGACTTTGGAGCTGAAGTTTAAAAGGCTAGATTGATAAAATACATCTAAAAAAATCAAGCAGGATCTACTTCTAGAAACAGCGCTTGTGTTTACTACACTTTTACATTTTACTGGGTGAATTATTCACACCAACAAGAACATTGTTCCTGTATTTTTTTTCCCAGAAACACAAAATACTCCTGATGCACACTTCATTGTTAGTAAACCTGTTTCCCTTCATTTTCCTGAAAGGCTGCATTCAATAGAGATTTTCTAGCGTTTCTTTAGTTACAATGATTTGCTTGATTATAGAAAAAAAGTTCTCAGACAGATGCATGGATTTACTTACTAGTTTTCATTTTGTAATGTGTTGTGTTTGGTATGTTGTTTTTAAAGGAAATTGAAACCTTCTATTTGATAATTCAGTTAATATCAGAAACTCTACTCTCATATATGTTGAATTTGTACACTTGTCTACACCCAGTGAGCATTTTGTAGGTGAAGAGACGTATAAATGACGGCTATGATCACTGGCGAGAAAGATGTTCAGAGCAGTCGATGTTTGAACGTTCACATTCAGACCATATTTCAGTGGGTGTCACAAAAGATATATTTCAAACCCAAATTACAAACTACCAGTTTTCCCGTTCAGACGATCAACCAGCACGTCTACAAAGAGATCCTGCAACATTTGCTTCTTTCAGTGTGTGAGAAGAGGTCAGAGTTGTGGCAGGACAAGTGGTGACTGCTTCACCTTGACAACGCGCCTGCTCACAATGCTCTGAGCATCCCACAGTTCCTGGCTGAGAAGAACATCGCCGTGGGATTGTTTCCTCTTCTCCAAGCTCAAGGGGGTCATCAAGGGGACCCACTTTAAAGACGTGGACGACATCAAGATGGCTGTGATGACAGAGCTGCAGAGGATCCTGGAAGAATCCTTCCAGGAGTGCATGGCGGCGTGGCAGAGAAGGCTGGGGCAGTGTGTTAGACTCCAGGGGGATTACTTGGAAGGAGAAAACTTGTAGTTTGTTGTTTGGATTTGAAATATATCTTTGTGACACCAGTCCTGAAACTTTCCTGACACACCTCATATTCATGACATTTTATGAGAAAGTTTAAATGTGATGAAATTCCATTTTGTGCTGACCACCCTTGACCTACCAGTGCAATATGACTTTGGAGAAATTCTTCTACACCAATCAATTACAATTTAATATATTTTATTACCATGAATGGCATACAACAATATTGCCAAAACATTGAATAAAATGATAATAACATCTCATTTTTAAGCTACAAAAACAAATGATTAAAAAAATTTGTGTTCTGTAACTTGCATTTTAGCTGGTTGACAAGAGGGCAAAAAGATGTCTTACACCATAAAACACCTGGTTTTCAACACTGAAATCTTGGTTTATGCTCACTGGGTGGCTCGATTTCACATTTTGAGCTGCTGTGCACTGACTAAAATGTTTTTAGGGAACAACTGGAATACTTTGACAGGAATTACAGCTAAATTCCTCAGTTCTTTCCAGAAAACCTTACACGACATTTCAGTAAAAATTTGTGTAAAAACTTTACAGATATTCCTGTCGGTAAATGATTTGCGTGTTTGTGTGCTTTCTTGGTTTGTGTATTTGTACCTCAGAGCTGTCCCACACGACTCGCATGCATGCAACTAATATCATGGCTGGAAACACATAGTGAGCCATGAACACAAAGCTGCTGAAGTAGAGCAGAGAGACCAACCGCATGAAGGTTGAACTGAAACCACCAGGGCAACAGCATGTCCAAGTGTCCTTGAGAAAAGAGTGCAAGACTTTGTTATTCAGGAGTGAATTAACTTGTGATAATTAGACACTGTCATTTCAGATTCAGGTGTTTGTTTTCAGTTATAGTGGCAGGTGGTCATGATATAAGCAAGAAGTCAAAGTGGCTTATTCTCTGCTTGTAGTTAAACTGAGGTTGTATTCTGTACAGGACTGGTTTTAGACGTCACTATCAGTGCTTCCTCTGTGGTTGGAGAACAACATATGTTTTAAGCTTGTTTGTATATGAGCGAGTTCATACTCTGAGAATTTCACACCAGTCGTCTCCGGCCCACACTTTGCACAGCATGCGCATGGCCATCCCCAAGTGCTTGAAGTTGGTGCATTGAGCAAAACCCTGGTAGGAGCAAACAGGGGTGCAGTCTGATAAACAAAGAAGCAAACAAGACAGATTTAGATATTTCTGCACTCTGTGAATTCATCTTCATCTTAGAATCAATCAGTTTATTCAGCTAGAAAAATGAAATGTGCAAAGCTTTAGATCCTGCAGAACAGCGACTCTACTGACAACACATTACGCTGAAGTGAAAGAATTTAACATCTTGCCAGTGTCACATCAGAGTAGATGGGTAGTATTAAAACTGATTCAGTTATGTTGCAGTCCACTATCATTTACGTGTTTGCTAAAAGGACGTGATCCTATAGTTTGGCTGTTGTGTTCCCTATGATAAGGCTCCTTAAGGTTTAGCTAAAAAGTTCTTCTTTGAAAATAAAAAAATAAATCAGCTATTGGACCATGATCCTTGGCAGTAAACCCATGTGCTTGGCATGCTTGTAGCGTAACTGACCTGGACCGACAAACAGATGGAGTCCACAAACAGCGTAAAAGAAAATGATGAATATGAAGAATGGACAAATCTGTCCAACCTGGAATCAAAATGCACATTAAAACCACTTTGCCCTTGTTGTCTAGGTTTCATCAACTCAAATTCAAATCCAGAAGGGATATGCTTATCCCTCTACAAAACTAAATCATTTACTTTACATTTGAGTCAAGTAAATCAGACAAAGACAGAAAATCAACAATGTAGTGTTTGTGTTTACCTCTGACAGAATCCTAATAATGGGGTTCCGCTGAACTCTTATCATCCTGGCTTTCAGCACTAAAGAGAGACACAGTAGTTGTTATGGAAACCTCTGAATATATGCATACACAACTCTGTCTACTAACAATACCTTTAGTACAATATAAATTTTACTTTGCTGTGTGTGTGTGTGTGCCTTGTGCAAGTCTGAGGACCCTGCAGACGGTAAACATGTCGAGGAGGAAGAGGCTCATAATCATGAAGGAGATGAAGAAAAGAAGCATCCTTTCGTTGTGGTTCCTCACAGGTTCACATTACATTTTCAAATGCACTCAATAGAGATGCAGCTGTGCTTTTTAAAAATGGATCAGGCAGTCAAAGGTTTTCGTTTTATTCCTGCACCTTAAGAATTCAGTTAGCAGACCCATGAAACTAACTGAGTGAAGCAATCCATTACAATGAATATCAAGTCTGCATTGTCCATTGCTCCTTTATTGTGTGCTTTGTATATATTTGTAAGGCAAAATTCACAATAGTCACTCAAATTACTAGAAATTGAAACGGTTATAATTTTTTTTTTTTAAAAAAAGGATAAATTATAATTTAGTGAAATAAGACATTGCTTATGAATTGTGGTTGAAAAGAATAATTAAAAAATGCACTTTGCTGATGAGCAGTGGGCCAAAATCCAAATAGCTGTCAACAGGTGCAGAAGTCTGATTGAGAGTTACAGAAAACACTTGATTGCAGTGATTGGCTCAAAGGGTTGTTCAACTAAATATTAGTTTATGGGTCCCATCATGTTGGCTTGCTTGCTTGTTGAACCACAATTCAAAAGCAATGCCGTGATTTTTATTAATTTTTATTTATTATTACTTTTGTCAACTCCATCTTATTTCAGTGACAGCTGTATTTTTCCTTCTTTAATGGGACGGTATGAATACATTTAATATACATATATTAATTATGTTATTACTATTATGGATGTGTCACTGCATTTTACTGTTTACTTTCAAAGTGGAGCTAATTTTTTTATATGTTGTCCTGCAGTATAATCCGTGCATTATCCATATTGTCAAGACTTCTCTGGTTTTGCTCGTAAGATCTTATTCAGTAAAATAGCAGTTACAACAGTAGCCAAATATAATGGAGTAATACTAAAAAATGAATGACACACTTGGTTGTTTTTTTGTTTGTTTGTTTTTTTAAAAAGCATTTTAGTTGAAGCTAAACGTTAAAAATGAGTATGACTGTAAGCTAGAACCGTTGGATGCTACGTGCTATGCTAGCGTTAGCTTTTGCTATGACTGCTAGAAACATAGTTCTGGTTGGTACAAATAAAATGAAATTCTGTTTGAAAGGGGGGGAAACATACACTCAAAATCGTATTGATTCATTAAGGTTAGTGCAGGTAAATGTCGACCGTGAGTTAGCTACATGGTGATGGTGAATAATTGTAGCATTAGCAAGCTAACTGACAACCAGAAAACGGTTAAACGTTGGACAGTAAATCCTTGTTAGTCCCCGTAGCATGTGTACAGAAGTAAAACTTGTAACTACGAGCATGTAATACAGCTTCACTCGTTTTGTATTTTGTGTAATATTAAATACAGCAATTTAGTAAAGATGGTAAAACGGGTGTTAAAGAATAAGTTCTCAAATCAACAGTTAAGTTTATCAAAGCTCTTACCAGACAAACCAGTCGATGTCTTGGCAGCCGTCAAGTCTTTGTCCACTTGTCAAGGTTTCCTAGAAATCCACTTGTCTTGTATCGTATATCTATTTGGTTTAGTATCAGGCTTTGAAGGCAAAACTCAAGTGCAACGTTAAATAACGATGAATATTTAACTGCAAACAACAGACGCAGCAGATAGATTCTAGAATTAGATGTTGAAATATGGATCTATTTTTTTTTTTTATTTCTTTTTTTAATAAATTAAAGTTTACAAATGTTTTGGTTTGTGTGTGTTTTATTGTAATAAAATGTAAAACATGTAGCTTTAAATATTATGTAATGCTGATTAGACAGTGTTGTTTTAATGTGAACCCCTGTGAGATTAGGACAGTCGTTGCCAAGGTAACAATTAATGGAGATCTCTCCTGTTAATTAATTGATAAATATACTTTGGTGGGAATTTTCAATCCCTAAAACCAAATTCTTAAAAACTGTATTTTGCATAGAATATAATCACCGTAATGATAAATCCATGTAACAATAATATATGGTCAATAGAAACCAACGCTTCATTGATAAAAATGGCCTCTTCTAAAATATTTGTGCAGTGTTTGAGAGTAAAAATCATCATTTAGGGAATGTGGTATTTATGGGGCATTAAGACTTACAGTACTGCTGCTCGTGGTAAACTCTGTCCCTCTACAACTGCTGTCACACCCATTGGTCCCAGAAGCATTCATGACATTGTTCTAATTCTCACATCACTATTGCATTTTTGTAATTTCAAGATTATTATCCAGTAGTATTACTTTAAATAAGCATGATACAGATGTAATGCTGATGTTAAATCACTCCTTCATTCATTTACTCCACTCTGTATTGAGCATTTAAGGTTTATCGTGAAGTAAAATTTGATGTTACACACTGCTGAGTCATCATTCTTCTGCACTAAGTAGCGTCTTATAACCGTAATCTACACACCAGTTGCAATTTCTTGCATGTTGGGAACTGTGGTAAAAAATATTGAAACTGGTAGAAATAGTTTGTTCCATTCTGAAAAAATAAAATAAAATCCAGAGCACCGTACTTTGTAATTTTTTAGATTTTCAGACAAAATGTCCTCCACAAAAAGGCAGTGAAATGTAATACTAGATTTTTAGCTTGTTTGTCTTTGACACTTGCTCTGCTATCTCTTTGATTTAAATAAATATCAATGAAATCTTCCAAGTCATTTTTTTATTTAAAATTCCAACAGATTTACTGAGGAATGTATTTACTGCCAGCCTACTATTCCACATACAGTCCAGTAGGTGGCAGTAATGCACCTACCAGCTGGTTGGAAACTCTGTCACATCAGCACAAACCCCTCAGTACACATGCACATTTACTGTAAACTACTGTAATGCAGTATTTACTGGCCTCACTAATAATACCATTAGACACTGACAACTTGTTCAAAACGCCGATGCTAGAATAATGACAAATACCAAGATGAGAGAACGCGTTACTCTGATTTTTAGATCTTTACGCTGGCTTCCAGTTACAAATAGAATTGAATTTAAGGTCCTACTTCCTGCCTGCAAGTCTCTAAATGGTGTGGACCCAAAATGTGTCCTTTACAGGCTTTATTTTTTATTATTATTTGTCTTTTTACACTGTCTAATCGATCAGTTTTAAGTATTCTGTAGAGTGTATGTGCACTTGTCTGAATTGTTTTTGATTCATTTAATATTTGTATTATTATTGTTATTTAATTCTGCTGTATTTTCTATTTTCAATTGCATGTAATGCACTTTGAATAACCTTTGTGTATGATCAGGTGCTACTTAAATAAACCTGGTTGCGTTTTGGCGCCAGGAACAGGTAATAAAATGATCACAAATACAGAAGGCTGCAGGCCCAATGAACTTGGAAACACAGTCTCAAAAACATTTTTGAAGTAAAGTATTTTTAAAATTATTATCATTGAACTGTATTATTGACATATGGACACATGCTGATTGAATACATTCTTAAATGTCAAACATTGAATTCAAGGATTAAAAGAATAAAGTTTCTAAAAGTGAATTCTAAATATGACATATAATCATATAGTATGTTTTAATCTTTGTGGTTAATAACATGCTATGTAAATGAACCTGCTTGCTTGCTTCCTGACACAGCTTTCACTAATGAGATACTTGTAGTTAGATTTACAACAAATTGAAATCAACCAGGCATGTGAGCGCGAAGGGTTTTAGCTGAAGTAGTTTGCTTTATGAGCTGGATTCTTCTTCATTTTCCATCTTCACCATCACATGGCTCCAAATCCTAAACACAAGCGAGTAAAAGCTGGCTCTGAAGCCTCTCCCCGTGTTCGTTTTTTTTTTTTATCACTCCACAGTTGTTGTTGTTCTTGCTGGGAGCAGGGGAAAGGGGAGGCTGCTCATGGAAAAGTTCTGGGATGCAGGGATTCCTTGTTTACATCCTCCCGGAGTACGCCGCGGGGGCGGGGTTAGCTCCGCCCTCATTCTTTAGGCCTGACGTCATTGTCGCCTGTGTTTTTTATGAATGAAAGAATCCAACCTCAGAGAGCAGCGGAGTAATTCCGGGAAAAGGCGGACTGACATTTTGTCGCCAGAGTTGCGTCGACCCAGCAGGTAAATTATTATTTTCTACAAAATATTCAAATATTTAGCTGGACTTCGGCGGTAACAGCCGAGTGTTAGAGAAACGGTTCGGTAGAGGAACTAAACAGCCAACCGAGGACGAGCGAGCAGGCAGCTGTTTGCTTTAATCTGCTTTAGCTCGTCAGAGACCGTTGATGCTAGGTGCTAACTGTTAACATTACTAGCATGTTTGAGATGATGCGGATAATTTGGCCCCGATCTTCATATTTATGTCCCTATATTCGTTTCGTTTGACAACCAGGGGAAGTTCCCACTTCCTTATTTATATCCGTGTGCTGTAAACGCATTTTAAATGGATTATTTAAAGTCTAAATGGAGACACTCGTGATAGCTGTTTACTATAGCAGCAGCGCCTTTGCCCTAAGCTGGCCAGCTCCTTTCCGTATAAGGGTCGGTTCTCGGTGTAGCTAGGTAAATAAATACAGCTTACGGGTCTTGTCTGTGTTCGCTATTTGTTATTTAATATCAGAAAGAGTTGATCAGACACGGTGGGATTTTTAGAAATCACGTTGTAGCTTCGGTTTGGCAGTGGTGCGTTCACTTGTTGCTTTCCACTTTCCTTAAAAAGTCCTCCAACGTGGTATTTATAGCAAAGTACAAACGTGGATATCCTGTGCTGTTTGGGCTAATACACAGAGACGTGGTCGCGGCCGCTTTTCCTGGATTTGTACCGACTGGCAGCCTTGGTGGAGCTGAGCAAAGGCTTTATTGCTGAATCACCCTGACTTTACGAAACGGCGGTCTCATCGGTTTACAGCCGGAGTCCGCCGGCTGGTTGGACAACCACTGTTGCTGCAACCCTCTGCTTCCTACGCATTTCGGGAAATGGAGTTTGTTGTCAGCAAATTATAGGCCACACTAGCAGGTGTTTGATTTAAGCTCATATGGTCCAACACCCACCGTGTATGACTTGTAGGCCCCTGTGTGTAGTTAAAGCTGTTTTCAATGTTACGCAAATAGGATTTGGATTGTGTAACTAACTCAAGGGCCCCTTAAATGCAACAGAGGATATGTGACACTGTACCAGACTCCTTTTTCTTCTATGGTTCCTGGTTTTCTTGTAGTTTTCTGACTTAGTACTAAAGACAGCAGCACCAACCAATCAGTCTTCTTTTTACAGCCACGTGTTATGTAGGTTACTGTGTCTCCACAGGTTTTTGTATATGGTAGACTTCAGAGGTCCTTAGCCATAAACAGACATTTCTTGTAACAAGTGTAATAAACTTTTATAATTGGGTGTCATAAGACTGTTAGCCCAGTAGAGAGAAAGGAGAAAAACAACTTGACATTCTGTTTAATTATTTAAAATACATTCCTGAAGTGTGCATATTCAGACTTACACTCATACTGCTTTGTGATTTTGTTTGTTTGTTATTAGTTTATTTAAATTCAATGGATGATGTAGTTTGATATAGTGTCAATACATCACACAAAGCTGATCTTATAGCTATTGCTAATTTCCAACTCTGGTCACTTGTTGGGCTTTTACATAAACAGTCTAATTAAAATGTACAGTTTTCATTTTCAAAAAGCGCAGTATATTACACAAATCTAAGTACAGCAGAGTAGTCGCAACAAAATACAATAATTGTGATGTGTAAGGAAAAAAAAACGACGAGTAGCTAAAATGGCTACAGCTCTGTTTAGCCTTAGGCAGCCCTTAACCTTTGTTTGAAAGATTTTGTATCTGCAAGTATTTTGATTTGAGTAGGTAATGTGTTCTGAAGACGACAGCCCTTTTATGGGGAAAGCCGATTGTACAAGTTCAGATCTACAATGAGGTATTTTAGAGTTGCTTTATACCGTGTGCCAAATTATTCTGTTACTGTCTTGTGTTTGGATATATGTGGGAAGAGATTTGGGGCTGAACTGATGAGAAGTTTGAAAACTAATTTGAGAAAAATAAAAGAAGCTCTCAAGGCTCGGCAAACTGTATCTTTTCAGGATATCACAGGCTTTTTGTCCATTACTGTCAGAGCTGGCTTGTGTGAGGATGTGAGGTTTCTGATTGTTGATGGTGATGATGCTTGAGCCCATTGTGTCATACAATCTAAAAAAATGACAGAACATCATAGATTGCATAAACAGCTGGGCTGTCTGAAGGGGTATATAGCGCCTGACTGATTAAAGTTGGTTTTTACTGTTTTTGAAGTCTGTTGAAACAAAGTGCGTTGTTTTTCTCTCAAAAGATTTGACAACAATAGAGACTCCCGCACACTGTCTGGTTTGCTGCTGAAATATTTACTTGATTACAGAGGTTTTTTCTGAAGTTTTTTTTAAAGATTTACAAAAAAAAGAGGCTAAACAGTTGTCGCAGATCATAAATATACCCTGGAACCCAACAAACGCTGTAAACAAGAGGTGGTGAGACTCGGTTTCAGTGAGATCTTGTCTAGATTAGTCTGTTTCTCCAGTAGAAATGATGAGCACAAGAAGTTGGCTCATCAGAGAAGTTGCCAAAAGGTCAGCATCAACCTCAGAATACCCATGAGTCTATGTGTGGCTCTCCATTAAAACCAAGCATCATGTAACCTTGTTTGTTCACATTTTTTCATGTTTTTCTGTCCACTTGTGAACCATCAAGTGACTTAAGGAAAGGTCATTCGCTCTAAAAAAGAAAATCCAGTGTTGCAGTAAATACGAAAGTTAACAGACTGACTCTGCAAAAGAAAGGGATGTGGGAAAACACCCTGTGGTTCAGTGATGTCAGGGGAGAATTTGTTGGTTCTAATTAAACGTTAATGTTAAAAGCTGTTTTGGTGTGTACCTTCTCATCAACAAACTGCGTGGCCCCCCTTTTGTGTCCTGCGCTCTCTGGTCAGGGTGTAGGTGAAACGAACGCAGCGAAAACTGCTTCAAGTAGAAGTGCAGAATCAATTTTAGCAGCATGACAATGATCTGAAGTGCACCGCCAGATGAGCCAAGACATGAGTAGGGGGAAAAAACAGTTAAAGTTGGCTCACTTTGAGGTTAGACTTTAATCCCACACAACAATATTTGTGCGCTGACCTTAAGAGGCGTGTAGGAAGTCCCGATGTAATGCTGAGAGAGAAGAATGAGAGAAAATTACCAAATACAGTAAGGAGGTACAGACTTAAACAAACACCCTCACAGCTGTTATTACAGCTTGTTACGAGACGCTGCAATTTAAGGGTGTGCTTTCCAGTCATGGTGTTTAAGTCCTCTTGTTTTCACATACTACAAATAATTTAAACGTGTCACATAAAGCACCTATTATGATCTGGCTGTGCTCTGTTTGTTTGAAAGCCTAGTAACTTAAACATTGAGAAATGTATAGTCATGTTAACTATTGGAGAGAAATTCCACAAACTGTAGTATCCCGTGTTTAGGCTTTTTCACAATGAGAGCTTTGAACCGTTAGTGTTGTGTTGACAAGAGGAAGTGTTGAGGGAATTGGTTAGGACACCTGCTTTGAGCAACCGAAGGGCAGACACATGATAACTTCCTCCTCACTATTCCAGCTAACAGAGAAAGGCATGTCGCTTTCAAAACCTCCTCTTCCTTTCATATCAAACCGCACAGTTTAATGAGAGAGCGCGTTTCGAGAAGCATGAAAGATCTGTGGGTTCTCTTTTTCTTTATCGAGCATGACTGGCTGTCTTGTGAGCGGATGGTAAATGTCAAGCCAGAAATGCACCAAAAATGTCCCGAGTCATGTGATAATGTACCTTTTTTTTTTTCTTAATATGCGTGTCCTGTTTCTGTTCTCCTATAGTGTCTATATCTGTTTTGACCGGTGCTTGGGGAGAAAAACCGAAGACAATTGGATCATGACGACAGAAAGAAACAGCAAAGCCCTGAAGGTAACAGAGTGTCAGAAATAAAACTTGGCTTTTTTATCTCCAAAAGAATGAGTCATGTTTGTAGCCTTGGGCTGTTTTACAAGAGGGAAAACTGCAGTGTTGAAAAGACGTTTCAACATTCATCCTTGGTGTTATTTTTTAACATCATTTGTCATTTTTCATGCTTCCTCCTCTTTTAACTTCCTCCTCAGGTGAAGCAGGAATGTGGCGAGAACGTGCCCTTCCTCTCAGACAGCGAGCTCATGTCCCTCTCTGTACGAGAGTTGAATCTCCACCTGCGTGGCCTCTCCCGCGAGGAGATCCAGAAGCTGAAGCAGCGCCGCCGCACCTTGAAGAACCGGGGCTACGCCGCCAGCTGCCGGGTCAAACGGGTCTCGCAGCGAGAGGCACTGGAGCAGCAGAAGATGGAGCTCCAGAGAGAGGTGGAGAGGCTCGGGGCTGAGAACGCCGGCATGAGGAAAGAGCTGGAGGGGCTGGGTGCGCGCCTCGCCGCCCTCCAGAGATTCGCCAGAGGTCTGGAAGCCGGAGGAGGCAGCCTGCTGGCTACAGCCCCTCGCCTCAATACCGCCTCCGTCATCACCATCGTGAAGAGTCCACCGCAGCCTCAGCCACAGAGAGAACACGAGCCGTCCTAGAAGGAGCTGCAGGGACTGGACTGGGGGGGGTTGGGGTGGGTGGGGTTAACAGCCTGCAATGCAAACACACACACGCACACACCTGCAGGCATGCAAATACTATACACACACAGGCAGGAGAACAGGAAGACGATATTAGTAGGAAAATACTAAGCGCCTCGTTCACATTATTATATGCAGAAGTAATTCATTTCAGTGGCAGAGAGGTGAGTAATGTCACCTAGTAGACAACAGCTGTGCTTCGTTTTCCAACACCGGGGCCAGGAACAGTTGAAAATCATCTAGGACGGGTGGAGGTGTCCTCTGCTTAGTGCTGCTTTATGACACTGCAGCTTAGTTGACTGAAATTCACTCAAAGTGCTTGTTTTGAAGCACAAACGCTTAGAAATTAGTTTGAGAAAGATGCATCAGGTTTAATGTGAACAAGGCGTTGAGCACTGATGTACTCACACGTACATGCACAAAAGCCCGATCCACACAGGGCATAGACTAACTGGACTCTGACTGAAGCCAGACCAACCCAACCAGAGTTACTGTACATCTTTACAGCTCAACAAATCCAGCTGCGCAGGCTGGTGCTCTCTGATTGTGCTACCGAAAGGCCGGGGCGTCTTTCTGCTTCCGTTTATGGCACCTGACCAACAGCTAAAATGCCAGGGTGGAGCGGACGTACGCGCAGCTTCCTCCGGCTCTACGACGTCTGCATTCCTGCTAGTCTGAAATTACTAGCTGTTTCTTATCCTGAGTTCAGACCCATGTGTTTCAGCTGAGAAAAATGCCCCACATTTGTTAGCCATTAGTGCAGAGTTTCTCAACCTTGGTGTCACTTCATGTGCTGCCGCGGTAACGGGTGCTTTGAAATAGATCATTTTCATACAATCTATTCTGAGCTCCCTTTGCGCTCTTGAAAATCAAACAGTACGTCATACTCAGACTCACTTGACAGCTCTCTGACTGCTTTAGGTGGATTTCGGGAGCAAAAACGGTCCAGGTATCTAGGAAAAGGTTGAGAAATGCTGCATAAGTGCATCATAAAGTCCTTCAAGAAGTCGATTCAGTGAAATTTCTTAGTTTTCGGATTCACCAGGCACTACTTCCTACCTATTCTACACCTCCATATGAGGGGAATTCTGTAACTGCTTGTGTCCACATTTTTTTTTACATCAATGCAGTGCCTTCAGTGTATGTAGGAGCTACAGGAATGCAAAGCTGGCAGGGAAAAGGTTAAAAACAGACTGTAATCGCTCCTTCTTGCCTGTTTGTGACATGATTTCAGTGGATTTTCATATTTTCTAAGCTATAACCCCACATTAGTCATTTCACGAACCGTACTGTGCAGTAACTTTGCTCCGGTCTACCCTCTTTCATATCTGGTAGGCTCCCAACAACAGATGTTGGTCATTTTGCTAAAAACGTGTCAAAAGCGGGAGTCGCATCTGGTAGGAATTACGCTCAAGTCGATGCAAATCCTCTGCATACATTCCCGTTTTGTGTTCTTATTTGTAATGTTTGTATGTGTCGCTGAGAGACGAAAATGTTGAGTGACATTTATCAGAGATATATTCTATATTTTATTTGTATTTAAAGGTAGATATTATGAAAAGACAAGCTAACGAGTGCTGTGATGTTCTGTATGTTTTCAAAAGTACTTATGACTAGTCTGAGGATATTCTCATGTCTAATTATTGTGTTGTGTGGCGACGATGATTACTTTACAAAATGTTAATTATTAGCTGTGTAGAGATATGCTCAAAGCCAATGGCCATATTGCTGTATGATGATTTTTTTTTTTTTTTTTTCGGTGTGTGTGTGTGTGTTTTGTTTTTTTTTTGTTGTTGCCATGTTTGAACCGGCTTGTCATAGTGGATTCTTGGAGGGACATTATTTTTCTATGATGATTTGTACGTTGTTTGTGTGGAAAAATTTAAGGTCACTTCTGAATTGGCGGGGCGGGCGCATCCACGGGATGTTAAAGGAAAACCAGATGGAGAAAGATGGAGATGAGGAGGAGACAAGAAGGTCGAGGAGTTGATGGATGATGGAGAAAGAAAGTAGGCAAGGCGGACTGGGAAAGAAGGTGCAGAGATGGTGGTGCTTTATTCACTTGAAAATCCTCCATCAGACGTAGGCCTGTTTAAGTCAGACGGGCTTAGATTTCTTGGAGTTTAGGCCACTGAATAGTGCTAGCAATATCATATATAAGTAGGCATTGTAACACATTAAACTGTGTTGGCAAATAACTCCTAAAGATACGAGGCATATATTTAGCTATATATGAATATCGGTGTGGCAAAGCATTTATTCTCAATATTTTAACGTCTCACATCTGTCAAATTGTGCTGGATGTTTTGTAATACCTGCAAAACAAAAATGGTCTTTGTATTTATTACTTGTATTTTTTCTATTGTGAAAATTTAAGTACATTGTCTATTTTATATATTAATTATAAATAAATGTTGTACATATTGTACATAACATGGTTTCTGTCGAGTGGATTGGAAGGCGGTGCGGGGAAGATTTACAGGATGTGTTGCGCGAGCTTTTATGACTGGATCAGAAGGTAGAGTCGAGCCCAGCGGTAAACTATGACAGAATTCTTCACATGTTCGTCATCTGTGTGCACCTTTCACGCAACAAACTCGGCTGACTGGAGTACGCCAACGCTCTGCTCCTGTTTACTCCTCTGATGAATCCCTCATGTTCTCCTGTGGATGTTGGGGGGCATTTCATCTGCTGCCAGGAACCGGTTTTGCAATGTCTTTACATTTTTTTCCCATCTGCTGCTGCGCATGGAGGACATACACGTGTAACACATGTTGAAATTCAATTTGACTCTAGGGCATCCTGTGCACCGCGACTTAGAATCACAGCAGCGTTTACCTTGTTTTCCAGCTCATCTACTTCTGTAGATAGCAGCTTTATAGCACATACGGTATTACTTTCCTACACTCTTGGCAAATGGAGAAAATGATGACTCAGCATGACTTGGAAAGTAGTGGTGCTGCAATATACAAGTATTGATGATAGCCAGCACAGAAACAGCATTCAGTAAATGTCTACAGACTCTCTTTCCATCTCCTTATTTCAGTGTAATTCATGTGACAAAGACATTAATAAACAACAGATCCCCTCCTCTGTTTGAAGACGGCTTCCTTCACTCCTCTCAAACCATCTGTCCAGAAGGTCAACGTTTCTGTTCTCGAAGGAGTGTCCCTTCTCCTTCGCATGCAGCTGGACTGCTGATTCTTGCCCTCAGGAGCAGCTCTGTTGTGTTGTTGTGGAGCAGTTGTTTAGTCTCACCTATATATAGGTCTGTACACTCCTCTCTGCGTTGGAGCGCACATACGATGTTGCTCAGCTTGTCTTTTGGGAGTGTTTTATCCTTAAAAACAATTTTTTTTTTGTCTCATAATGTTGCTGCGGATGTTGTTTTTGGAGGAAAGTCTCTGAGACACATCAGCTAAATAAGAGATGACAATGTTGTTCTTCTCCGTTTGACATTAGGATGTTTTTTCTGGATCTTTTTTTGCTGACTTAATGAAAACCCCGTTAAGACAGCCACAGGTTTTGTATGATTTCAGGCAGAGAATTAATACCTGGAGCTGCCTACCAGTCAGCTAGAACTGAAGACGATTCTTTGATGAGAGGTGAATCGTCTTTGAAAACCAAAAAGAGGAGTAGTTTTCTGCAGAAGCACTGAGGATGACTGGATGACTTTGATCTACACAGATAATGGCTGTTTATTGTGTGGTTTGTGTCTTTTTTTTTTTTTGGTGTGTAGGAAGAGCATGACTGTACTGTGTCAACCAGGTAGTTACTGCTGCTTTATTATGTACAAGATTATATGTGCATTACTAACATGAAATATTACATTTATCAATAATACCACTACATCATGACACTTTTACTTGCAAGAAAAATGTTCATGGTCTAAAACAGATGGAGCCTATCCTGACCATCAGCGTACATTTCCCATAATGCAACTTAATACTATATTTAATGAGCCCCTAAAGTCTTATTTTAAGCACCTCGGAGGACATCATGTTACTTCTCATGACCCGTAAATCAGAGTCTGTAGATTAAAATAGGTTCAAGTGTCCTATAGGTGTCCACACAGATTAAAAAAAGAAAAAAAACACAGTTAAATACAGACTAAATATCTTTTATTTTTCCCCAAAAATCTTTATCCATTTGACATGACATAATAGCATCATGAGCAGCTTTAAAATATACAAAGAACTAGAAACCAAAACAGTTATTGAAATAAAAATAAAAAACTAGGTCTTCTTTGTTTCTCCCGTGCTCAGCCTTTACAGCATATATGACTATTTCCACACACGTCTACTGTTCCTCCTGTAGAGAGCACTTAAACCTTTATGTACAACATTAGCCTCAGCAGCTCAACACACGACTGAGCTGATGAGAACAACTCACAAATAGCATCGCTGCAGAGAAAGAGGATGAAGAGTGCACGAGTGGATTATGGCATTCAAAGTGCTTCAAGACGGACATGCTTTGATTTTTAACTGTAACATCACAGGAGGGGGGAAACCTGAATGTAGGAGCTGCGACGCAACCAAAAAAAACGTTGCCTCAGTTTCATCATCACTAAAAATAATCCGGTTTGCAAAATGTCTAAAAATAGGCCTGCTGCTCCTGAGCACAGACGTGGCTTCTCTCCTGTTTAAAAGTAATATTGTGTCAGGCAGAAGCAGGAGTTTGAACCGCTGTCTGAGGCTGCTGTTTTCTGATGGAAACGCAGACAGCGATAAGTTGATTTTCTTTTTAAAAGTGACTAAGACAAAGTGTTTTTTCCTGTTACATATGCACTAAATGCATGAGAACTGTATGCTTGGAGATAAATACCTTCCTATCCTCTCCATATGGCCCCCTGGTGTTCATACAGAGCTACAGCAAAGTAAAGTGAAAGTAGTTGCAAGTAAACACGTTGGCAGATTCAGTTATGACTCACTCAGATGAGTCAAGAACTCCAATTATGAGTAAAAAATAACCAGCTCCGACTGCGGTTAAACTTAACTAAACAAAACAAAAAAAATACTCTGACTGGAAGAGGAGAAAAGCATCCAACTCAAAGAAACACAAGCTAATGCGTTACATGTTTTTTAACAGAGAACAGTGACTGATATTTTTCCATACTATCGGGATGATGTACAGTTTAGTTGACAGATATACCAGAACTGCGCATCGTAGTGCAAAAAATGTAGTGAAACTAGAGATCTTTACATACAAACATGATTCTGAATATTGAATTTTGACCAGCTGGGGGTGAGAAAACACACAGTTATTCATCAAGTTGTGAAAGTACCTAAAACTTAAAGTCCAGCTCAACTTAAAATGTGTTTTTCTGAAGCGAAAACAAGTGTACATGTGATCTCCAGGGGTTGTGATTTTTTTGGTGTAACTCGATTGGTCCAACATCAGGGTGAGCAGGCACTAAAATGTGTTGTTAAATCACGCAATCCCAGCAGTCACACAGGCCAGCACTCCTTTAGCTACTCCTTATTCTCACTGCACGCTCAGGCTACAGAACTCTTGTTGTCGCATCTGGATCCATCAAAGTCAAGAGGCCATTTCTACAGAAAAATCTAACATCGTACACAATCTGTAGGAAGCAGCAGATGTAAATGTGTCCACTTTTAAATGTGAACTACATCTAGCGTCAACATTTTGAATATTGTGTGCACTAACGGAGGAAAGGTTGAACTCCCGTGAAGTTCCATTAATGAGAGCAGACATCTAAAGTTAGCTTTAGCCTATATTCCTCTGCTGTTTTGTTCTTCCCCTCAATCCATTTAACCTACATTGTGGCCTGCGGAGTTCTACTATCTGAGCTTTAATCCCTGCCGTTCAAATAACGCCCCAATTACACCAGTGTAATCCTGACCGGCTCTGCTGCTGCCGCCGCCCTTCACTCTTGCGGCCCACTGGAGCAGATGTAATGTTTAATCTATAAGCTGCTCTGCCTGCCTCTCATTTGGAACGTCAATATCAATAACAACATTGATCCATGCAGCTGACATTAACACATGTTTCTGACACGTTTTCCCTTTAAATACATCCCCACGCTGCTGTGAGGGGACATTAAAATGCCACAATAGTCCAGGGTTTCCCCAGTTCACTGACGATTCATCTACACGTATATTTTCTGTAAATTTGTACCACATTTTTATGACTAAGACTTCCACAACATTGAAAACAGCTTGGAAGCAAATGAACGTATTGGCAGACCAATTCATTTTTCCAAATGAATATCTAAATATTATTTTCAAGTTTGCAAAATTAAAACTTTTCTAAAACTTTAATGAAAATTTCAGTCACGACTGGGGAAATCTTCACAAACGAGACCGTCTGAAAAACAACACAGCTTTCAAAATCCAAACCAAAACGCAATCAGAAGAAAAAACATGACATCGATTAGGATGATTACACTGGGACACACAGTTGGGCGAAGGAAACATGACTGTGCTGAAACTTCCAATTAAGCTTCTACCCAGCCATAAAACTTTCGTTCCAAATGTCAAGTATGATTCATTATGTACAAGTGTGACTCACAAACTTTCCAAGTTTAACACCAAATCAGCTTCAAGTGTTCCAACCAAATAAGACGCCTGGGAAATGTCGGCGCAGGAAGGCCCCCGGCATTCACGATGAGTCCCAAAAACAAACACTCTCTAATCATTCACACGTTGAAGAGGATCGGCTGCACGCGAGGATTAAGAACCGTCCGCCGTAAAAACATCAGTCTGAATAAGATTCAGCTGCGGTGAGAGGAGTGCCCGGTTTTGACGATTTCTCGCTCTAGAATTCGTCATCCGAACTGAGCAGGAGAGTTTTCTCGGTGTCGCCGCGGCCGCTGACGGTGCTGTGTGTGCGGGAGACGGGCGGCGGCGCCCCCTGCTCCAGCGTGGATTGCTGGGTGTACTGCTGGTAGGCCGGGGAGAAGTTGTGGATGGCGTCCTGGACCATGTCGCCTGGGTTCATCGTCTCCTTCAGGCTGCTGGAGATGCTCTTCATGGGGGCACAGCGGCCTACAGGAGAGGAATGAGAAAAGAGAGTTAGAAGTGAAAAGAGAGAGGGTGAATGAGGATGAAGGAAGAACATTAACGGGATGTAAATGTGTAGGACTGATTTAGTGAGGGGAAAAGGGGAAGGACAGGGGTAAACATTAAGAGAGCGTGGATTTACAGTGTTTTGAGCACCGAGGAGAAGGAAGGAAGGAAGGGAATGTGTGAATGAAGAGGGAAGAATGAGGAGAGAGGAGGTAATAGAGTGGGAAGAGGAGTGATTTAGTGCGAGGAGGAAAAGTGAGGAGACAAAAAGGACAAAAACAAGGAGAAGAGAGGAAAGAGGCATCAGTGATTTAGTGGGCGTTAAAAAGCAAAACAAGTGGGGAAAGAAGGAGGGAATTGTACAGGAGCAATGGGTGTGATTTAGAGAGAGAACAGGAAGAGGAAAGGGTTGATAAAGAGGGACATTAGACAGGAATGAACTGTGGAAAAAGAGAACGCAAAAGAGTGTGGGAATGATTCAGGAAAAGGAAACGTCTGAGTAAGAACAGCACCTTTTAAAAACAGCAACAGTTACAGGTAGTAAAACAAAACAAAAAGTTGAATCAAAAGCTTGGATAAATAAAATCAGAAACTGGCTTAAAATGTCTCAGAACAAAAACAAAAGAAAAAAAAAAAGAAGGATGAAACACACACAAGGGGGGGATTGTGGTGTAAACATCATCAGTGTTCAACCTACCAAACTCTCCATATGTAGGAACAGGTCCTTTATGGCGCAGCAGAGGAGAGAAGACAGAGAGTAAGACAAATATGTAGAAAAAGGAAAGGAGAAAATGAAGAGCTTAGTAACGTGGAAAGAAGTGGTAAAGGTAGAAGTAACAGAAAAAGATGGGAAGTGAAGGAGAAAATACGCATAGGAAGGGATGGAAAGAAATCCTAATAAAATGGACCAAAAAAAAAAAAAAAAGAAGTGAATGGCTGTTTTAGAAATGTCCTAGATTAAGACTTTTACTTTGGTAGGACAACAAACATTTACCACACATGCAGTAACCTTAAACTTCTTTCTATTTTCTCACCTTGTGAATCAAGACTTTTGTCCATGTAGACTTTGTATGTGAAAGCGTGTCGCAGAGCCAGCGCCGCGAAGAACATCTCGATGCAGATGATGAAGTTCTGGTAACCGGCAGCAACCGTGCCCTCGCCGACAGACACCTCCACTGAGTTAATCTGAGGGATGGCCCCGCACTTTTCCAGGATAGCCAGCAGCATGCCTGGAATAATTAGATGAGGACTTAGTGAAAGCACAACACTCTTAAATATCTCATTGTGATTTTTTCTAACAGATATATGATCTGACAGAATTTGATTAAAGGCTTTTAAATCCAAGCTCCAGTTCAATATTCCCTGTGTGATTGTTTTGTTTGTTTTTTTGATGGAGCAAAATCACCTAAGACAACATCAAAATCATGACTGACACACAAGGAGGACGCCGTTATTCTGTAAAACCACTGACACGACAGTTTAAACCTTGGATCGTAGACATGATGGGAAATGTGCAAGGTGTGGCTGTTAGATGAGTCAAACTACAGCATGCATGTCTGAACCGTTTAGTATATATGGATGTGTGAGCAAGCACAAACAGCCTGTGAAACTTTCAATGTGCTCACATGAAGTCAAACTGAATAACAGCATTTGTCTCATTATTTAATAACCAACCTCATAAATCTTAAACTGTGAGCATCTGTGATTTACTAATAGCACTGTTTCAAATTGTGATTTTGATTTGAAATCGATTAAAAGCCCTAATGACAATGCATTCAAAAACATTGTCGATCAGTGTGTTATTTTAACAAACATGATGTTGTGTCTCGTGCGGTCTCCTTACCCTGCCAGAAGGAGAGGAAGATGACCGACTTGACCATGAAAAACTTGAGCATCGGGCTGTAAGGGCTGAGCAGCTCCCTGGTGGCGAAGTAGAAGAGGAACAGGGCATACAGAGACAAGCTGACCGAGATGTTGTAGATGATGGTCACGTACAGGTAACCGCTGGCAACGCTGTAGAGAGAGAAGTCAGGTCAGGACGGTGTTAATGGTGCTGATTTGGATTTTTGGGTCATTTTTTGTAGGTTATCTGTTGTTACAGGTCATGCTAAAAGCGAAATTTCATCACTACAGATTAAAGTCCCAAACTGAAACGATTAAGGGAGGAGGTGCTGATTGGTCTGGAACAGTCATCTAGAAATTAAAGGAGTAACCCACATCATGTGAAAGCTGTAAAACAGCTCAGCTATTCCCATCAGAGAAAAACAGATAACCCAAAAGTTAACAAAGGTTCTTCCTGCCTCTCTGGGCAGCACTTACTTGAAGTCTCCATCCTTGTATTTGCCGTAGGCCTGCAGGATAACGGTGATGATGGCCATGAGCGGTTTGACCACACAGAACTGCAGTGTGGCCTGTTTGCAGAATCGCAGGAAGCCGATGGAGTAAGCCTTCCCCCTCAGGCAGCAGGTGCCGTACATACAGCTGGACCTGATGGGGACAAACAAGGGGGTCGTGGTTAATGTGGTTTCATATCTTTTGGGGAATCTAGCGTTGATGCAGTGAAACTTGCTGGACAGACCAGGAAAAATGAGAATATGCTGAATTATAGCTTTGAATGAAAAAGAATCAGCTCTTCTAATGTCCTTGTTTTCATACTGGAAACAATATGAAGACAGCTGGAAACAAATACAGTTTCAGTTTATTTAACACTGTTATCATTCAGCTGTGTAAATATAAAACTTACTCGATGGGTTTCCCTCGAATCTCAGCCATGATGGCGCTTTCTCCTCCCAGGTACTCGTAGCAGAGACTCAGGAAGTTGTAAATAACAAACGCTGCGGAGAAACAAGGAAACATTGGATTGTTAGTCTCTCCATTTATGCTTTTTTTGCTTTCTAATAACTCGTTTTGACCAAACAAACTTGAATAGAGGGAAACAATTTTGCCGCTTGTGGTGCTACTGTCATTATCATGTTTCCACGTTTTGACACGTTGACTTGTTATTGTAGGAAAATGTTACTTGTAACTTTAATTATGACTTCATTCTACTCAAGTGTCCCAAGAAGCCACGACCGTGACAGCGAGCCAACATACACACTAGGAAGCTACAACTGAGGCAGCTAAATGGAAATGAGCCATCATTCGCCTGTTTTTCCTGCCATGTCGTGTCAAAATGTTATTCTCCGTGACTAGACCCAGTTCACTCACTGTGCTGCTAATCAAATGGTTCTGCATGTTATTATCGTAACAAATACATTAATATTTTATGCTGCTTATTTTGAAAAACAGCGTTTCCCAGTGGTATTACCGCTGGCGCCAGGATCACAAAGACTGGGTGACTTTCCATTTCCCTCAAAGCCTCACAATTACCAACAACACAGAGTAAAGAATGATCGACAACACTTATTAATGTGTTATATGAGAGAAGAAAGGAACACATTAACAGCCAGATGTTTGTTTCTTCTGTTTCGGAACTACACTCAGATGCTTGTTGCATGGTCTCCTTGTAACTCCAGATTTGATTCCTGGCTGCTGGTGGTACCATTAGCAACATGGCTACCGTGTACAGCCTAGGGACTGCCAAAAGCAAGGCTCGGGTAGAGTTACCACAGTTGCTCTGGCTGTTCCGACATTTCAGCTACCTGGGGAATGCTACTGAAAAGGGAAAAACAAAAGTGCTATCCTCTCCTGTTTTCATTTGCACAGTTGCAGACCAACTTCCTTTGTGCCACAAACCAGGAGTTCATTTGTCAGGAGATCTTGGACCCAGTTGAAGACAGAATTGCATACTAAAAAGTGAAGCTGACAGGTGGTGTCGTAATTCTGTAGCGGTTACACTTTATTAAAATATGGTATTTAAGATAATAAACCTGCCCTTAAAAAATTTAGAGAACAGCAGCTTCAAATTGTGAGGAAACGGTTGATGCTGTTAAACTGCAGTGAGTTAATGTTACCCACACACATCCCCTCCAGCAGTCACACAACAACACAACACTTCCCTTCCTGTCACACTTTTTAGCATCAGCAAGGAAATATAAAGCAGAATTTGTCATTTACATGTAATGTTCTGACTGACTGCTGATTGTAGCTCAAACACGGCACCTGACCACCTTGACGCAAGGCATTACTTTATATGGTTTGAGTGGGAAAATAAGGCGCAGCAACGTGTGATTTCTAAAAAAAGGTCACACCAACAGCTTCACAAACAGTACGTCAACATCTCAAAGTGTTTTATACATTTAGTTACTCATGATAACCCATAATGATCAGGACTTACGAAGCTGTACATCCAGCATGGTAGTGAATGTATTAAAAGGGGAAAGCTCAGATGTTTGTGTTCAACCAACAGCAGCACAAAACATGGACATAACAATTTATACACATACACATACAGTAACCTGATGCATTTCAGTTCTTTTGTTTCTGATTAATCTTTGTGTTTTATTACTTCAACATTAAGCTATAATTTTGTCACTTAAAGTCAGAAAATCAAGCCCTCCACACCAACACACACCTTTCCCTGGCTAAATAATACTGACCGGTCTCTGGTGACCAGTGGATTATCTCTCTTCTGTGCTGCTTGACCGAGAGGCCGATGACGACCAAGAAGCTCATAAAAAAAACACAGCCAGGCTAATCCTGTTAACCCCCTGAGGAACCTCCTGTCCTCCTGCGTGTGTGTGTGTGTGTGTGTGTGTGTGTGTAGGTGTGTGTGTGTGTGTCACACAAACACTCACCGAGGGAGCATGTGTTAGTGTGACTGTGCATGCGAGGTAAAATAAGGTGAGAGAAATAGGTGTGTATCATTTAACTCTGAAAGTGTGAAAATGCGATATATGCTGGGTGTGTGCCGAGCTGTGTGTGTGGGAGGTTCAGGAGTGTGTGCGCGTGTTGCAGTGTTGTGTCACAACACTGATCTCAAAGTAGATCTCAGCTGTACTGCTGGCAGTGATTCTTGTTTCGTCAGCCGAGTTATTCTATTCTCCTTTTCTCAGTCCGATCACTCCACCTACACTCACTACAACTTTGCCGCTGTCCTACGTCAGATGCCTGTCAGACGCCTGTCTGACAATATTGAGGTAATAGGATGCCGTACGTGCCATTTTTTTGTTTGCACAAAAAGACAAAAGCCTGCGAGCTCCTGAGCTGCGCAATGAGAACTGGTCGATCTGCTTCGAGCGGCTCTCTCTGTGCCTCAGCTGTTTACCATTATGCTCTTTCACTTCTCTCCAAGGACACCCGTCAGCAGCGCTAGTTGCCACGGTGATACAGTAGGCCTACATACAATGGGAATGGGAACTTTGCAGCAAGTTTGGTTGAGAGAAACTCATTATCTGATGCAGCCACTCTGGTTGATGAGGAAGATTTGTGAGCACAGTTGCCATGCAACAGGTTGGTCATCTCTGCTGAGGAAAAGATATCTGGGCAGGGCTCAGCAGCATTGTGGAGAGAGGAGGGGACAAACAGGAGAAGGAGAGGAGGCAAAGGAGAATGAGGGGACCGGAAGAAGAAGTGGAGGAGAAATTGGAGAGGTGGTAAAAAAAGATTCCAACAAATGCGCAGTAGAAGCGTGACAAGAAAAATCAGCGATAGGGAGGGAAGATGATGCCAAAAAGAGGAGGAGGCGAGCCATCTGTACGAGGGAACTATATGACGACCACAATATTGACAGCTCTTCCTGCCGAAAGCAGAACCATACATAGAGCGCCCCCAGTCCACACTCAAAAGCATCATCACTTCGCCAACACAGGATGTGACGCGTGAGCTAAGTGTCACAGCGAGCAGACTATTTCTATTCATGTCAAGACAACTGAGTGATGCAAGTGGAGACGTGGAGACAGTCAACTGCCTCTCACCCCTTTCTACCAATTTAAGATTTAAAAAATGAGACATTCAAAACATCAGACAGCATTTCTTGTGTTTGCGTCACCCATCCACTCCAAGTAGTCCACCTACTACCATTGAGCTCATCTTGTCTGCACTTGGTTTGGATTCATGTTTCCTTTAAAAACCAATTGTCAAAATGCAGCTCAAAGTAACACCCAATCAAATTTCTAATTCACACATACATGAAGACGCAGAGATTAGAAGAAATTAGTAGAAGAAAAGCAGCTTTTGTCTGAATATGAATTAAACTTTTTGAAAACCTTCACTGCACAGGCAGGTCCACTTGCCACTAACATGCTTTAAGTTATATCTAGCCTCAATAAAAGTCTCAGGTGATGAGAAAAGATGGAAATTAACTTGCTCTTCGATTCACTGCCTAAGAAAAAGATTTTTTTGATCACTCACTAGAAGATTTAAAATTTAGCAAACTGGTGAATAAAGTTTTAGTCTATCACAGAAAAATCAAGATTCTAATAAAGGGCAGAAAAAAAAAGAAAAACATTCACTTGGATGGGTGGAATGATGGGTTGAGGATGGAAGGACAGAATATACATCGCCAGTTCCATTTTATCACAATATACTTCAATAAATCAACTGGGAAAGTCGCTAACAAAGAGCTGGAAAGGATTTAACACATTGAGTTGTATGAAAAATGTAATTGTGTGTATATAGCGTATCATGAACACTCAGGGTTTAAGTTTAGATGGATTCTGGGTGGGAATGAAAACCTTTAAACATGTCATTGACAGTATAAAGACATAAACATGTCCTTACCCTCATAGCAGTCTCTGACTGTGTCAAAGTACACGTAGTACTGATCGTTGGTGAAGAAGAGGAGGCTGAGCCAGGAATCAAAAGCGTAAATAGGAACGATGAAGAGGATCCGCACGATGTGGCGCTGCTCCCTCGGTGAGCTGTAGAAACGCAGGTGCATGTAGATCTGGGACAAACAAAGAATTTGTGTCATAAATAAGAAAAGCTGCTTCCCTGTTCATATAATGACAAGTAAGATTGTAGCAACAAGCTTCAATTCTTGTGTAAGAAGATAACAGCAGAGAGTTAACGAGCAAGGCAGGAACACAGTGTTTATGAGCTTTAAAATTGTACTTGGAGAATAAAACTAAAACTGTCATGAAGAAAACATTCAAATTGTACTGTGTACAGAGGTCGCTTTGCTTCTTATCAGTCTGTAAATGTCAGTGATCTCAACAATCAATACATTTCCTGATATCATCTCCCAGGAATGTGGAAGAGAAAAAACATCTCCATTCTGATTTTATTTTTTCTAGCCAAAGTTCAGATTTGTTTTACATCCACCTACTGTAGAAGTTTCACCTTTATATGCATGGCCAAGTTTGAGTGTATTCATGTTTTGTATGAAAAACACCTGTCGAGGGATGTTGCCAAGCAACCCCTGCCGTTCTCTGGGCCTGAGCAGATGAGTGTGTTTACAGGATCACATCACCTGTGCATTAATCAACACACACACAAGCACCTACCTGTCTTATTCATGAACACATATGTCTGAGCAGCCAGTTTACTCAGTCCAACCTCAACATCTACACCTCCGGCTGAGTAAATAATAAAATATTACTGAGCAGAAGTAGAATTCTAGACCTGTTACCTGGTGGCAGGTGAGAATGAGTGCAGTCCAGACGAAGAAGCCAGACACTGCCTGTGCTGCTGGAGTCATCAGGAAGATGGGCTGATCGGGGCCCAGCAGTGGGAGTTCAGGGAGCCACGAAATATTGGGCCCCATCGGAGCTGCAGTGGGTGGGGGACCAGGAGCCGCGACGAGAGGAGAGTCCTCCCCCAGCCTCTCTGAGAGCGGCACGTCTCGCCTCCACAGCCTTAACATCTGAAAGTGACACAGAGGCTGTTAAACTTTCACAATTCTACAGAGCTCCCTGAACACAACACGTATCAAAGTGTGTAAGTGCACACAAGGTAGCCTCCGAAACTCTTTTTCAGTGGCTGACACAATCCATAAAGTATGACATTCGTTCCCACCAGTAATCATCAACCTGAAATATAGATCACACTCTGTGTTATCTGTGTAATGTGTAATGTGAGAGAGGAAGACTAATAGAGGACAAACACAGTCACACTGTTGGTTGCTGACTAAAGAATGTGTGTACTGCTGCTATGATGGTATCTGTGTTCAACTCTATAGAAACATAGGATTTTAGTTAATTCCAACATCTCCCACAATGCCGTTTGACAACTACCATATAACAAGCCTGAACATCTACCATTAAGCTACAGGTTTAAGTGGAGTGTGTGAACTTAATAGCATGCATTAAGATAAAGCAGCATGTCATTTAGCTGAAAGGCATTCTGTTATTTTAGGAATTCACTGATTCTCTTTGTGCAGGGTCTTTCTTGCATTAAGGAATTTTTGAAACCTCCCAAAAAGGTTTTAGCTCGTGCCAAAATAAAAAGAATTCATAACCAAAATATACTTTCAATTTTTTAATCATTTTTCTAAATTGGGATATCATGTACTCAAGCAGGGCTGCAAGGTGGCTCGGTGGTTAGCACCATTGCCTCGCAGCAACAAGGTCGTCAGTTCATGTCCCAGTGAGGACACCCGGGATCTTTCTGCATGGAATTTGCATGTTCTCCCCGTGCAGCGTGGGTTCTCTCTGCGTTCTCCAACTTCCTCCCACACAGTCCAAAAACATGTTGAGGTTAATTGGTGATTCTAAATTGTCTGTAGGTGTGAATGTGAGTGTGCTTGGTTGTTTGTCTCTAAGTGTAGCCCTGTGATAGACTGGTGACCTGTCCAGGGTGTCACCGCTCATGGCCACCCTTCACCCTGAGTCAGCTGGGATAGGCTCCAGCCCCCCCGCGACCCTAATGAGGATTAAGCAGTGTATAGATAATGGATGGATGGATGGATGTACTCAAGTGTAATATGCAATAATAAGGAAACAGAGACTCATTGCCTTTCTTGCACATGGACTGACAGCCCATTCTGAACCAGGAAAACCAAGATATTATGGCAAAAAGCTATTTGATTTGGATAAGTAACAACTAAATCCAACATTTAAAGTTGAATGTTTTCGATCTCTGAATTTTTCTGCAACTCAGTAGCAAACTGACTATGAAAACCTGCATGTGTTGTGATATTGATAAATCTTGGTCCATTAACTTTGGGGGGGAAAAAAAAAGCACAGAATGAACCACCGGATGAACAATTATCAGTTCCACAACTAAATCGCCTTTTGAAACAATGCAATTTAGAATTTACAAAGTGTGGCTACCGAATAATGAGACTAATGCTGAGATTAACTTGATCTCATTCAAGCAAATTGAAAGTTTTAGGTGTCGTGTATGCTCCCCATTGATCAATGTATACTATAACGGCATGTATTTTGTGGTTTGACTAACATAAGCCAGTCTCCTTACTTCACAGCCACACCTCATACATATTGCAGCACGTCTGATTCAGAATTTAAACTGTCATGTCAGTAGTTTTGCAGATTCAGGCCTTCCTCCTTGTGTGGCAGTTATGCCTTCAACGATACTTGTATGTGGTAATGCTCAGTCACATGCTTTAAAACTACCACACAGTGAATATTCAACTAAAGTCTGACTTTAAAAAAAATGTATTACAAATCAAAACACAGTATTTGTCAGAAGAAAATCGCAGACATTTCCCCCATATCATTTAGAGAGGACCTAAAATGTTTTCTACAATCGTCAAAAACATGCATTCCTTCATATCTGACCACTGAACCGAACAAAGAACAGCCTAGAGTGTGGCCAAATCTAGCTCCACATGAACAAAAGATGTGACATTCGCTGCCGTGTCCGCTAGCAACGGTTCCTGAAGATGACTTGGCTTGAATTGGCCAGCAGATACGTTACATAAGCTGTCGGTCACCGTCTCTAGGATGGCATGTTCTCAGGGTGTGTTTGTTCTTCTACACTGACAGGCAGTTGGCATTCAACGCTCAGCTCGGGGGAAGCAGGGACCTTGACGTTATGAAGGTGGAGTGGGGGTTTGTGCAAATGCGCATACACATAAGTTTAGACAGAAATAATGACGACAAATAAAAGATCTTTGCTAAGAATGGCCACTGAATCAGAAAGAGAGACTGTGACAGACAGTAGCCTGCTAGTCTGACTTATTATCCTGTCTGCCAGAGCAGCACAGCAACCAAAAGTCATACAGCACAGAGAACAAACAGCACAGACAATGACAGGCTGGCATAATGACACCCCACACACACAAGCCACCATTTAGTTTCTATACAACAATAATTACGTTAAACTCGACTGATTTAATTTGGTGGTTTGATAAAAATGCATTAGGCCGCCTTCATGCATTTATATGTGAGACGAGTTATTGTTTCTTTGCTTGTGTGTAACCTGCGTGTGTGTGTGTGTGTGTGTGTGTGTGTGTGTGAGACAGACAGCAGGTCATTTGTATTGGTTTGCGGGCAATCAGCACATCCACATGTCAACACGAAGAAGTGAAGGCATCAGCAGCCACCCACACAATACCAGTGACAGTGAAATGATGCTGTGCTGAAGCAAAGGGACATCTGTGTGTTCCATTTGAAAGGCAAAAAAAAGGTCAGTGTGTGGGGTCTCTCTCTCTCTCTCTCTCTCACACACACACACACACACACACAGAAACAGAGGGGCAGGGGGTCAGGAATAAAGCAACAGATGGAAAGGGGCAATGGAAGGCAGACAGGGTGTGTTTATAATTTATAATGAGTAATAATATGGGTGATAGCCAGACTGGATTAGCATACTGGCAACAACAGCACAAAGATTTATTCATCAGGAAAGCCACCAACAAGTTTGGACATTTGAGGTTCTGACTTAAAGTTAGTTTTATAACAGTGATTTTATGAAGCTACTGGAAATAATACAGTCTGCTGTGTATAAATCAGACTTAGAAAGTTTGAATAAAATGGAAATGATGCTGACATTCAAACAAATTAACCACACAGTTGCTGTTTGTGCTCAGGGTTAGCTTAAAAACACTCACCTCTGCTAACGGTTAGCCGCAACGACTCCCCAATGAACTTGCCTGAAATTGAGAAAGACGTTGTGATTAGCGGTGGAAAAGTGTTGGGACAAAGTATTTCTAGCTCGTTTAAGAAACTAGACTCACCTGGTAAGTTAGTTGCTGCTCTTAAATCCTCCTCAGCTCCGTCAGACAAACTCTTCGGCTAGAAATAACCCAGAAACGGCCTTAATTCCCACTCAGAGCCGCACCGTTGCTCCCCGAACATCCATGTTAAGTCGTCCGCGGACTGCCCCGTCAACACCTCGGTGTCTCCTCCAAAAACTCACCTCTAAAGTTTGTTTCTCATGTCACGCAGCTTCAATTTTATCGTTTTATTGCTTCCGCGTGTCCATTTACAGCTTGCAAAGTCGGTGTTTGAGGAGTTAAAGCTGTAAAGTCGGTCATTCCTCTCCGCTGCTCTATCTGCACTCCGCCGCTTCAATCCCTGTTGGATTAACTGCAGATCACTCCGGTCCCGCCCCCTCCGCGAGGACGAGTCGGCTCAGCCAATCACACACCGAGGAGCGCTAGAGCCCAAAAAGGGGCGGGGTTTTAGTCCTGAACACTGAGCATGCGCGGTTCTATTCTGGGTCCAGCGACAGTGAAAATGTGGAGGATGTACAAATAAAGGTAAACACTGTTCCCACACACAAACTGGATGATGCGTTATTTGTTTCCTGTCCTAACTGCGTCGTCAGTGTGTGTGGGCCAAGGACATTCTCCATAATAAATTCCTGTTAAAAAAACTTTTTCCAAGGACTTTTTGACTTTGTTTGCCCCAGTTCTCATCACTGTAGAGAGGTTCTTAACGCTGTACAGAATATTACTATCCTCTGATACATAAATGCAAATAGAAGCCACGATAGTAAATAAAGCATTTTTTAACACTGAAGAGAAAAGTAAAAAGTATAACAATTGACTGATTGATTGGTATTTGTTGTGTTAAAAGAGTTCGAAGTGATTTTTTTTCTCCTCAACAGCATCTTCTCCTGGATGAAAGAGTCTCTCAAATTACTATTACGTTAAAGTAATGTTAAAAATTTAAATGATCATAATAACCTACAAGATATAACAATCTCATTCTAACTGGTACTTAAAAGCAGGCAACCTTGGTCTATCTCAGAGGTTGTCACAAGCCACATCTTTACATAATTATAGCTGGAAATCACTATAAATAAGACTAATTACAAGGGACACAGTTTGAGACTCACAGGTCTTTCCGGTCTCTAATATCTATTGTGACATTAATGTGAAATTGTAAGCATGAAAACAGAGTATGATGACCTTACTTTGTCTAAAGCATCATGTTTTACATTTAACTTATGTATTATTTTTTTGACATGTAATTTATGGCAACTACCAAGTTCCAATCTAGAAATTTGTAAACTGAACTAAGCCCCCTAATAAGTCAAGATCCTAACAATGTCTCTGGTCAGTAATGACATGACAGATGGCTAGGTGCTATTAAAGTGCCGCAGTAAGCAGTGTGGTAGAATACCATCCATCACAGTAGGATCATAATAATCTGCACCATTGCCACAGGTCAGTAAAAACCCGTTTTCAAAATGTTACTTGAGTTAAAGTCCAGCCATATTATCAGCAAATATAGAGTCAGAGGTATGTTGCCATATATTTTGTTACTAGATCATTTTTACTGATGTTTAAACATGTAAATTGCATTAAACAGGAGGTCCAGGGGTCCTATCCTGGGAAATTCTGAGCATCAAAAAGTTCATTTTTTGCATTCTGGTGAATCTTCCGATTTATGGCAGCGGCGTCTTTGTCTATGTAAAGGAAAATTTAGGCACCAGGTGACCATTGAAAACATGAAGGAATACCAAACACTAATTCTCTAAGACATTTTGCATTTCTTTCAAATATTTATTCTCTTGTTGATTAACTTTTCTCATTTAATATTATCCCCAGCTGACCCCTAGGCATGATCTACAATTCTGTATTCTTTTGGATCTTTTATTTTGGGAAGTAAGCTCTTTAAATGTGCATGTTTCACATCAGTGATGAACTCATTTGCTGTAATTCATGTTCCAGGAGAAGAAATGACCCAGTGCTGAAGAAAAAATAGGTGTTGGTAAGTCATGTTTTTACTTGTGGGGACAAATACATGTGTTCTAACTATTGAGGAGGCCAACTGTGCAATCATAAATAATTTTTGGCATTTTATTTTTCCACTGTTTTTTTTTTTTTTTTTAGTGTGTTTCAAGGCCTCCCCATAGTCCTTCATCATCAAGGTCATGGTCACCCAAACACAGACTTCATGTGCACAGAAATCTGGGAATCTGGGGATTAATGACATCAAAGGGATACACCAGCAATTCAGTGTTACTGAACACTGAACCCCCATGCTGGGGGACGAACAACACGCAGAATTAAACACAAAGGTCAGAAATGAAGCAGCACAGACTAAGATATCTGCACTTTTAGTCCCTAGTATGACAAAGTATAAAGCTGCAAAAATGCTGGATTGAATCTTAGATTATTTAAACTTTGTGCATCCAGTGTGTGACAATTTAGTTTAATGCTTAAAGTCTTAAGTTTCAGTTTGAGATAATCATGAGGGACTAAAACTCTGGACTGCACTGTTTTTAAATTTACAGACAACAATGAAATGTATGTGTAATGTCCATTTTAACAACATCAGAATGTAATCAAATATATAAAACAGGAGTTCAGAGAATCAAGAGCCAATACAAACATTTCTAAAACAAATATCTGATTAAATTATGAGTCTGAATAGTTAAATTTACTGACATCAAGTGAAACAGATTATTAGAAGTCTGAGTAAGTTGTGTATATTTTTATTGAATCAGAAAATATACACAAATATCATGGTAATAAAGTTGAAGCATGGGAAAGAAATGTACAGGACATCAGTCATCTCCTCTCTGTCAGTGACATCCATCCATCCTGACAGACCTGGGACAAAACCTCTATTCTTAATCAGTGCCACTCAAAATAATAACAAGAACCTTTGCGTCATTGCCTGCCATAGCGGAAACCAAAACACACACTTCTGGCAGACTCTAAAGGTTTTAGGTGAACGTAATGACACTTTTTGTCTCAGGGATGTCAGGACAGTACTCTTCTCTCCGGCCCCGGCTTTAAACAATCTGTCACATTCTGGCGAAAGGTATCTACACATTTTACATAATAATACGTAATATAAAACCAACGGAAAGCAAAAGATAAGAACAAAAATACAAATGTAACACCAGACTTGCTCACCACCAAGATCTTATAACTTTCTCAAGTCTTTTCATACCTGGAGTTACAAGCTGGACTAAGGCTGTTTCATATCATACAATCCTCGTTTTATTCTGTCTCCGTCCTCCTCTTCTCACATTCAGTAAACATGTTTTCAGTCTCACCTCGGCAAGACGGTAACAAGTGTGCTGAAAAATAGGAATACATCTTTTTGTTATAAGTCATGGGCAGTCTCCCATCCTCCATCCTTTTTTTTTTTTTTTTCCTCTATAAAGCAAAGCTGAAGGCAAAACAAACACTGAAGACAACAACACAGACAGACACATTTACAGACAAAAAGCAGCCTCACTCCCATCCACAAATTCACTGCAGACTCTCTCGCACTTCCTCCCTCTGATGCTCTCCTTGGTCCACTTTAAGCATTCTCCTGTCTCATCTATGTATTATAGGCCTGGATACACTTTAGTTTTGTGTTCGTCTCCATGGTTGTGTACATATTTATTGATAATAAAGAACACCATAAGCAGCAGATGTAGCTCTCAAACATTAGCAGATTGATACTTTTTTTTAATCACAGGTGTAAACCACAGAATAATTGAAATTTAGTCCATTTTTGTGCACTTTGTTTTTTTTTAATATCTTTTTTTTTTGCAAGTTGAGCCTCTGAGTCGATGGCAGGTGAATATGAATGAAGAAGGGGTGGGGCCTGTGTGTTGTTTCACCCACCTCCCCCTCCGGCCACACCCTGAAAAGCAGTACCAAACAGTTCCAGCCTAGAGTTTGTTTGTCTCACGGATTTTTCCATCATCTCAGCAAGCTTTAAAACTGGGCATGCTCACAGCGCATACTGACGACACACGGACGCCCTCGATCCCCCTTTAAAGGGCCTGCAACGCCGCCGCCTCCTCCTCCTCCTGCTCCTCTTCTCTTCCTCCTTCACTCATTCATGTTTTCATTCATCCATTTGAAAAGTAAGGGGTATTTGATACCCTGCAGCTGCTGAACCACAAGAAACACAAGAAGGAAGAGAAAGGTTAGTTTGTAGGTTAATTAAAGGACCAAACACCAATATGTAGACTTAGTTTATGATATTTAGTGTATTTGAGTTTGTTGTTTTGTAATTACTGTAAATTACTGTTTTGGATTTTCAGTATTTTCCAGAATGGTTTTGACAAAATACAGCCCAGTTGTTTTTGAACATTCCGTTTTATGACCCCACATGAATGTGTTACTCAGTGAAAAACATGTTTTTGTGATTTTGATTTACATTCTGTATCGTGGGCGTGCACTGAGGACACTTTTGCAATTGGATGTCATTGTCAGACAAATGTGCAAATGCAGTTAGTCCTGAACCTCTCAGTTCATTTTCAATTTCCAAGGGGTGTTCAGAGGAACAAAACACATAGCGTGACATAGCGCTGAGTGACAGAAAAATGTAAACAGGCTATAGGTGGACTTGCAAGATCTTCTTTCAGAGAACATATACTGTAGTATACTATACACTGTATATATCAGTCCTGACATGATAGTTGCTTCAAAAGACTGTTCCACATTAGCAGCTGCCATTTTGGTTGTTACAAAAGTTCCTCAATGCTCCTCTGTGCAGCCAAACGCACTCTGCCAGAGCAAATGAAACATGAGCTCATACAATCATCTGGTTTCCAGGCTTCACTGATCAGGGGAAAATGCCAGCTTTTTAATTCAAGAAAAAATGTCATCAAAAATGACACACAAGTAATGTGTGAAGGGAAAATCTTTTTTTTATTCATGTGTTATGTATGTCATTAAAATTTGGAGCTGTCAAATAAAAGCTGTAAAAATATGACAATGTTTACTACTACCAATTCTCTAGCACCCCATCAACTAGATGGCCTCCCAGCTTTACGACCCAGAAAAACTTTTATCCATATATGACCAGTAGCTGTGGAGCTAAAAATGTGCATAAACCTGCTCGCTAACTGATTGCTCCCTCCAGGTGAGTATTCAGAATGAGCAGCTGCCTCACTGTCTACAAGGTTTATTTCCTACAGCTGCTTGTGTTAACTCTAAAATGTCTCAGACCACAAGCAAAGCATGTCAAATGTTGTACTATTGGCTGCAAGAGCGAACACGAAAATCCTCATGCATATACAGCATCTGAGAAATTGAAGCTCTAAAGGATTACTTTTCCTATTGATTGCAATGTCACCACAACAA